AGTAGCTAGGATTACAGGCGTGAGCCACCAGCGCCCGGCATGTTTTCTTTCTTAGTTTCTGAGGATCTTCTGTTTATAGGTGGGAAAACTATAGGATGGTTCTCCATTTTTTCCATTGTTTTATTTTTGTGTTTATGTTGCTAAGGATCAAACTCCAGGCCTTAGCATATGCTAGGCAAAAACTCTATACTGAAGTCTATCCTCAGCCCTTTTCTCCTTGCTATTTTAGAACTAGGTTTGTTTAGGTTTGCTAGTCTGCCTTCACATTTACAAATATCTACAGCTGTTTTCTCCTTTTATCCACCCTATCCTTTGGGCTTACAACTTAAAAAACAAAAACACTTAAAAAATAATTTTAGTTGGGGTGTGACAGTAAGAAAAATGTGATATATATGTTATTTTATCATCTTAATATGACATTTTAAAATCATTTATCTTAAAATATATACTGCAAGGCACTTTCAGAAGTACAAAACATAAAAATGAACGAACAAGGCACTACAAATTTTACAAAGATTTTAAAAATAGTTCTGAATATCTGTTCATTGTTCTATTCTTATTTAATATAAATAATTCTTGTTTATTTAGTATATATACAATACATATAGTATATATTATTACAGGTGTGAGTTGTTTGTTTTTGTATGCTAGTCCTGGGGCTTGAACTTAGGACCTGGGAGCTGTCCTTTAGTTTTTTTTGCTCAAGGATACAGCTCTACCACTTCAACCACAGCTCTACTTTCAGCTTTTTGGTGATTAATGGGAGGTAAGAGTCTCATAGACTTTGCTGTCCTGAATGGCTTTGAGCCTCCTTAGATCTCAGTCTCCTGAGTAGCAAAACTTATAGGCATGAACCACCAGCACCTGGCAATTTCTATTTCGTTTCACTTGGTATTTAATACAACAGAATACTATCATTTATAAGTGGTAACTTTAATTCATCTAGTAATACAAGAGACTACTCATATTTTGAAAGAAGCAGAATCCTATCCATCATTTAAACAAACAAAATTGACCAAGCTCCATTCTTTGCAAAAATCCTTCTAGGAAACCCTTTTAAAATCTGAGGTGTCCAAAGAGTTAAAAACTATAGAAAGTTGAATTAAGCAGTCAGCTTTCTGACTCACCTAGAATTGTAATTTACTTCAAGCTAGTTAAATGATTTAAAAACATTGTTTTCTTTTTCCTTTGGTGGTACTGAAGATTGAACACAGGGCTTCACATGCTTGACCAGTTCTACAACTGAATTACAGTCCCATCTCTTTTTATATTTTAAATTTTGAATCACAGAATTGTCTCAAACTTGTGATCCTTCTGACTTAGTCTCCAAAGTAGCTGGGATTACAGGCATGTGCAACTAGCAAAGCATATCCTTTTATACCATAAGATACAGCAAATGTAAAGTATATATTAACTATAATCACAAAAATAACATTATCACACCTACATTATCATTGTTGGGTTTTTTTTTTTGATGGGGGGTTGTGTTTGTTTGCCAGTCCTGGGGCTTGAACTCTGGGCTTGGACTCTGTCCCTGAGCTTCTTCTGCTCAAGACTAGTGTTATACCACTTGAGCCACAACACCACTTACGGCTTTTTCTGAGTAATTTATTGGAGATAAGAGTTTCATGGACTTTCCTGCCTGAGCTGGCTTTGAACTGTGATCCTCAGATCTCAGCCTCCTGAGTAGCTTATATTACAGGTATGAGCTACCGATGCCCAGCTATCATTATAATTACAGCAATCTTCTATACACTTAGCAACTAAAAGCAAAACTTACCTGTCTAAGAATATATCTGGGAGTGGTGGGTAGGTCTGCATGTCAGGTACTCGCTCATGGACTATGACCATAATGAAAGATGTAAACCCGAATACTATAAAAACATATATACAACTCAGTATGGTCTTCCAGTACTCTGGATCCAATCTTCGAATACAGTGCTTGTTTTTGCCATTCATGTACTGGTATGGATCAGAATTCAAGTCAGTGATGGGTCCGTCACAGTCTTGTGAAGGCTCTCCATTACAGAGCCAGTCTGTACTCTGAAGAGCACTGATGAATGGGGTCATAGAACCCATGGGACTGTCACTATTATAGCCCATCTCTTCTAAGACATCAATGTGTATTTTCTGTAATTTTCTGACTGACAGCATTAACCTTTTAATGTCCCCTAGGACTTTGATCTCCAAAGGAGGAGATCGAAGATCATACTCAGTCAACGTTAGCAATGTGATTCCATCAAGTCGATGCTTGTTACATAAAATGTCCACATATTCAAAAAAGCCTTCATCTTTTAGCCACACAGCCACATGCTTAGTAGTCCAGCGGCGAATGCAGAGTTGATTAGGACCCGCCATTTCTTCCTCAACTGCCTGCAGTCAAGGCAAAACAAGAAAGTAAAACAAAACTTTCATGTGTCCAAACCACTTCTTTGAAGACCAAGTTCACATAAACATACCCAAATCAGCAATTTACCTGTATTTTCTTATCTGCCTTTAGAGTCAAAGAAACAAAAGTTATCCAATAATGAGTAATTTTTCAACAGATGCACATTTTAATAATTTTATGCATACAACCCAAAGAAGAAAAGCCAATGATGTAACTCTTTTTGTTTTCCTCCCTCTTTTTTTGTTGGGCTGGTGCTACAGATTAAACATAAGAATTCACACAGGTTAGGCAAGGCTCACGCACTAAACTATACCACCAGCCCCGTAATCTAACATCTTACAGAGTTTTACAAATGGCTTTTCTACAGCATGTCAGCTATAATTAACTTATAGACTACTGTTGAAAACAGTGAAGAAATATCCTACTTTAATACTTTTCATAAAATGAGATTTATCATGGTCTTGTTAAATGCAAAACAAATCTCTGAAATTTTCATTTGTGAAAAATTACCTCTCTACCTAAATATGGAAAAACACAGAAGAAAATAGGTAACTGTAATTCTTGGAAATTTCTTGCTATAACTATATATTTATAAGTATACAAATATATAATATGAATATATTTATAAATTATATACCTAGAAATAAATTTAAGTCTTATAAGAATTTAGTTCTTCCTAAATCTTGAATATTATAGAACTAAATAAGGCATTTCTTGGGCTCTAAGTGATAAAATTTCTAAAAGAAAACTGTCATTTCACTTTGCTCACAAATTTGATGAAGCTCAAGAAAATGTGGTATATATACACAATGAAATTCTATGCCTCCATCAGAAAGAATGACATTGCCCCATTTGTTAGGAAATGGAAAGGCTTGGAAAAAATTATATTAAGTGAAGTAAGCCAGGCCCAAAGAAACATAGGTCCCATGGTTTCCCTTTCTTGCAATATCTAGTATATGTCTGAGTCAAGCAGAAAAGGTCAGATAAGGTGATGTTAGGGAAATGAACCCTATGATATGTTTTCAAATGTTTTTTTCTTTCATGCAATTGTTTCTAATGCATTTATAAGATTATTTCTTTGTTGCTTTGTATGTCCTTCCCCCATGGTATAACTCCTGCTTTCACTGTATTTGATGTGGGTATAATTTGTGGAGGGGAAGGGGAAAAACAAGTCGTTTAAATAAGGATACAGGTGGACCTGTTGCAACAATGAGAAGTACAAGTCCTTATGTCGAAAACGAACTTTACAACTTTGGTGGGGGGGCAGGGAGGATTGGGTGGGAGGACCAGGGAGAGGATGGGAAGGGATGGGAAGGGGAAACAAAGGAGGAGACTACAATGCTTGATAAGAAATGTACTCATTATCTTGCCCATGTAATTGTAACCCCTCTGTACAATATTTTCACAATAAAAAATAAAAATTAAAAAAAAAACAAATTTGATGAAGCTTACATCTATCTATCTATCTATCTATCTATCTATCTATCTATCTATCTATCTATCTATCTATTACCACTATAAAGGGCCAATAATGTGCTATTTTAAAAAATACTTGCAATTTTTACTGCTCTGATCCTATTCAGTTGTTTCTTTGTCTTTTTTTTCTATTGTAAAATTTTGGTACATGTGACTTAATTGGGTTTATAAAGTATACCGGACACATGGATGACAAAAAAAAAAAGAACAGAAAAAAAATCTCTAATGTATTATTCTCTACTACTGAAAGTTTGTGTGTTTTCTGGCACTTTCTGAATCTCTAAATTAGACTATGTTTCCTCCTGAGATTATGGTATTTAAAAATACAATAGGCAAACTTTAAAACATACAGGGCTAGATGAATGAAGAGGGAGAAAATACAGCCAAGAATCCAATTTATTCTACAAAATTAAGAGTGAGGGGAGGGGAGGGGAGGAATGGGTGAGAATGATGAAAGAGCTGACATGGATCCATCGAGGTATTCACAAGCTGCTTTTTTAAGTGGCAACCCCCTTTGTACAACTACTTAAAGAAAAAAATAAAATATACCCAATGTTGAAAAAGATCAGTTCTAATACAAATATCTTCCCTCCCTTCTCTTACATCCCTTTTCCTTTTTTTTCTTTTCTTTTTGAAACAGGGTCTTGATACTTGCCCAAGGCTGACCTAGAACTTGCAATCTTCCTGATTCAATCTCCTGATTGGCAGGATTACAAGTATGCATTACCAGGCCTGCCATGTTCTAACATTTACCATCAATCTGGGTATTTATCCATTAAAATGGATGTGCTCCCTTTTGTGAAAATTCGTCAAACTATATACACTTATAATCTGTACTTTACATTAATTTTTTTAAGAGTCTGCTTTAAAACAAAAGGACAAATGTATATTTTTCTAACCCCATGGACAAGTGAATGTCATTTACAATGTCACGGATAGTATTTTCTTTCTCTTCTCCCAGTAATAATATCTTATTTGGGTATTTATCATAAGCTTATTAACATGAATTTGGGGCTATGAAAACCCTCATTTGGGCGGGAGGAGAGTGTAGTTGTGGAGGTGAGAAGAAAAAAAAAAAAGAAAACCCTCATATGCTTCCTTAGGCAGCAGAAAGTAAAAGGCAGATACTGTTGTGCATTCTTCCCCTATCCACATGACAACTTATAATCATTCAGAACAAGTAGATAGATATTTTAATGGCCTACCTATATCACCAAAAGTATTCAGAAAACAAGAAATACTTAATAAAATTTACTCAGAGATGAATACCATGGAAATAACAACTAATCAGTATTTAATTACTAAAATAGCTAGTTATATTTGATTCCAATTCCAAACATTAGCTCTTTACATTGCCAATCCACATTGTTTTCAGTCTTAGAAAATTAACATCACATCCATCTATAATGAGTTTGTCTTTTTCTAAATTTTCTGAAAAATTACAAAAATTGTCTTTTTTTGCTAGTTTATTACAATTTATTACATTTAATTCACTCAGTTTAACACATGTAATTTACACACTGACATTTAATATCATTTATTATATAGTATATAAAATATTCTACTAAAGTATGATTCTGCTATATTTTAGTTCACATATTTAGTTACGTTTTATCTTTTTTACCCTATTACATTCATATCATCTTTTCCTTCAGGTATGTCTAACTACCTATGATATCATGGATGCATACATATCAAGAATGATACACCATCCTTGGCTATTCAATGAACATATGCAACAAACTCAGCAGTAGTTACGATATAGCAAATCTGAATAAGAAAAGAATCTCACACAAAACTAGGTCAGCTTTCTCCATTTTATATATTTCTAGTCTACTCTCTTTGCCCTGTTTCTGACAGCTTACCACCAAGGGGTTCCAAGTTACTCCCATCCTTGTAGCATTATTCTTTAGTATAGTTTCATCTGGTACTCTGCTCAAAATGATTCTTCTCTTCTTTCATGTCCCCATCCACCTCCAGCTTAACTAATTAGAGCTTTACAACGTCAGTAAAGCTATCAGGCTTTGATGCCAATAGGTTAGCTACTAGAAAATATGAGTGATTATAAATAAATGTCGCCTGTAAGTCTTTGAGCTTGTTGTGGGAATGCCCTAAAAGCATGACACACTTGACTGTAAGGCTTCATCAGGTCAGTGCATGTCCTTTAATTGTATGATACTATATAATAGTTAGAGACCTCATTAAATAACTACTCAGTTATTATTGAGAAAGCCTAAATTAAAGAGGCATATTGAAAGATGATTTAAAAAAAAAAGCTTT